CAATAGTAAGGAGCAGTGCGAAGCACAAGTCATGAGCTTATAGGCTGTGCAAATACGTCGATTGTAGGTTTCCTCTAGCTAGATATCAACACTTTTGTTTCTGCGATTAATTGCCATTGCGAATGGATTTTGATTGTGCTCAAGTTATGCAATGGAAACGTAGAGAAGTGTCGACTGCACTTGAATGCAGTGTGGCTTCGGAAAATAGCAACGAGATTGTGATAAGGGACTGACAAAAGGAGAAGAGACTCAAGCCTGACTAACGGTCTTGAACACTCGAGTGTGGATTCCTGGAGCCCATTGTTGGCCAGTGATTGCAGACAATCGAGCGCCTCGTTTTCCTTTTCAGATGGTTAATATGGAGCAGAACAAGCTGCAGCATTGGAAATGATTGAGGACGAATTGCTGTATATCAATGTGCCCTTGTCTCATGGACTCAAAGTCTCATAGAAAGGCAAAAGCAAGAAGTAAGTGATCCTGGGGTCGTCGTTTCAGCTCAAGCAGTTGTCGCACAACTCCAAACCGAATCACGGGGTCCTGATGACTGGATATCTGTCTCTTCGTCTAGACACTTTTTTACCTTCTTCTGAAATACTCAAAAGCCGTACGACTTTTTCGTTGTTTTGGAGATTCAAGCAATTGTTGCTATCTTTAAAGATGAAAGCTCGTTTATTCACAAGCTCGCGCCAATTTGTATAGCACAAACAGTTGAGTTGCCAGACAAAGTGGCATCTGTTCGTGCGTGCTCGCATAGTTCAAAGATGCTATCAAGGGTACAGCAATTCTTTCCCGATGCTACTATTGTCTTTCGATACATTCACTGTCGTGCTTCGTGTACTCGATGAAAGCAACGATACAACTGCTAGCGATGAAGTAAATAATAGTGAGACTCTGACAGCTTTCTTCACTGCTCAGTCGCAACATGATCAATGGATGAACGCATTTGCCAAAGGGATCAATTATGCTAAAAGCCAGGCGACTTTAAAGGATGAGAAAGTTCTGCTGTCATTTGCAGAGGGGATGCAAGAATCTTCTCAAGAGATAGCAATAGGCAACGTATCGAACAGCAATAGTTATCAGGTTGATAAGAATACCAATGACAGTGAATCTGATGAGATATTTATGACTTCAAAAGACAGTAACATATATGCAAAGAGTTAGTATTTTTGCCTTTACAACTAGGGTATCTTAGCTCCGTGGCAAATGTCTGAATCTCATATTCGTAAAGCTGCAAACTCACAAATGATAGCAACAGTGCCAGTAGACGCAGTTCTCATCGGCTATCGTTTCCGTTGTTATTCCTCTCAAGAAGCTAAAGCAACTGCCACTTCTATATCTGCATCAAGCCAAGATCTGACTTTGTCAGTGGATGACCAGCCTCAGTCTCTTGATATCGAGATTTCAGTATGTTCATCTTGGGAAGCGCCGACTATATCCTGATTGGCGCTAATCAAGAAAATTTAAATCTTCTGGACTGAAGACTAGCGTAAAAGATTCCAATTGCAATTTATGCTTCATTGCACCAACCATTGACGCAAAAAATCAGTGGATCCAAGCGATGCACCATGAACTTCAACGTGATGCAGAACGATTGCTGCATTTCTCAGAGCGACAAATCACTCACGAAGTGACAGATTATCT